GGGCGAGGGGCGCCCAGCCTGGGCCAGACGCCGCTGGGAAGCGGGGGTGGGGGGCGGGGGCTGACCCTGGGGCCCTCGTGGGGAGTTCGCGGGGACCACGCCGGGGTTCCGGGGCGCAGGGCGAACTGCCCGGGTGGCTCGGTCCCCTCGGCTGCACATTCTGCCTCCTCGGCCCCCCCACGCCCCCATTTCTGCGGTTCTCCCGCAGCCCGTGCTCCCAGCCGTGCCCCAAGAAGTCACATCTGCCATAGCGGCTTCTGACCGCTGAGATCATTGGCCTCTGCTGGTTCCGTGTCCCAGACTTTTTTTAATTTGATGCAGTATCTAGGTAGTCGACGTAGACCCGGCTGGCTTGCAGCCTCTCGGGCAGGGCAGTGACAGCAGTCGGAATTGCAGCCCGCACCTGCTGTCCTTCCTCGGCTCTTTGTGCGGTGGGGTGGGCACAGCACCCTGGGCCTCGTGCATGCCAGGCCCGCACCCTGCCGCTGAGCCACATTCCCAGTCGCCCTTTGCTCACTGCAGCCAGCATTGCATGGCGGCTCTGGGGAGGTTCTGTGGGCCCCTTGGTCTTTTGGAGTCTCAGGTTCCTTTAGGTCTGAAGAGAGGGGCGGGGCTGTTGTTTCCTAAAGGATGGAGGGGTTTTCCCATAGGGCTGCAAATGGTGTCTCTGGGTCCCGTGTGCATGCCGCCCCACCCCCTTCTTCCTGGCTTGCCCAGCCTCGCTGGAGCTTTTTAAAGCTTGTTGGCCCCGGTGTTCTGTCCTCCAGAGTCCGTAGGCCATGACCCCAGCTCTGCCACCTCTTTCCTGGGCACCTCAAGCCTCCGCAGCTCCCCAGCCTGCTGCTGTCCTCACCTCTGTCTAAAGCACAAAGTGTGAGAAACGCCTGGTGGGTGCTGTGGCCTGGACAACGGGCCCTCCTCCTTTGGGAGTTGGTCCAAAGCCACCTTGTCCCCAGGCTGTAGTTACCCCGCTCACCCTGCCCTCGCATATCCATGCCCAGAACAGCTGCAGACGCCACCCACTCCTTTGTGGTGACATCCTGTCAGTCAAGACTGTTCGTGAGCTTCCTCCCTGAGAACCCTCCCACACGTGCCGGACACCATGTGAGCTCTTAGGCCTGGGAACTTTGTCCCCAGCGCCACTGCAGGTCTGCACTCTGCCTGCTGAGGGCAAGCTGGAGCTGCGGGCTCTGTGGGTGCATTACATGGTCCTGTGTGGATCTGCACAGCAGTGCTCAGAACGCAGCCTGCACCGTTTCCACACCCCCACCTCACAAGGCGCCCCACCAGCCGCCACAGCCTTTCGGACTTGGATTTGTTTTGTTTTTGAGACACAGTCTTGCTGTGTAGCCCAGGCTGGCCTGGAACTTGGGGGCCCTCCTTCCTCAGCTGAGAGGCATGTGCCACCGTGCCTGGTTTTGTTTTCTAAATTAATACAGCTTTGTTGAGATGATTCAACCTGTATGCCAAACTCACTCACTAGAGGGCAGTGGGCTTTTGGCGTGTTCACACAGGAGGGATCACCGGCACACACGACTTTGGGGCATTTGCCATTTTAAAATGAGGCCCCAGGGGCTAAGGCCGGAACTCAGTGAGTAGACTTCCGCCTGGGGCATGGTTTGTTCCGGTTTGTCCCCATACCAACCACAAAAACCAGGCTTCACTGCCCGTCATCACCACATTCAGAAGGTGGAGACAAGGGGACCAAGGCTTCAGTGTGGCAAAGCCTTTGCCTTACACCACCCCATGCTCCCTCCCACCCCCTAAGCAGCTGCCAATCAGAGGCCTGTGCCTGGCTGGGGTCCACAGCTGGATTGGAAGCTTGAGGCACATGTGGGCTCAGTGCCGGCCCAGTGCTTTTGGGACCCCAGGCCCTGGCAGGCAGTGTGGGCTGGGGTGCCTCATTTGTGTGGTGCGCACACTGGGGGATCTCCTGGCTGAGTGGGTTCTGAGGGCACTCCGGGATCCGGGTGTGCAAAAGTGGGGCGCTATCTGTCTGGGCAGGACAGCCACATACAAACGGTTCCCAGCAGACACCACCATCTCAGCTGTAAAGAGGGACAGTGATTGCCAGCAAGATGTAACGGCAGCCCGACTGCCAGAGCTCCCCGTGGCTGAGACTAGGATGGAACCCGGAGTCTTACACGCCGCCAGCGCTAGCTCACCACTGAGCGGCACCCAGCCTGCCACCACCTCTGACTTTACTGAGAACTAAGATTGGGCAACTATAAAACCAATCCCAGCATTGTTCACTCAGCCCTGACAAATCTGCTTCTTGTTCTGGAACATTCTCTATCCTATCCGTGGGGCCCCCCATGCTTCACTCAGTGCGATGTCCTCAGGGCTCCTCCAAATTGTAATATGTCTGAGCTTTGCTCCTTTTCGTGGCTGAGTAATACTCCAGCATGTCATGGACCTCACAGGTGCATTTCCAGAAGACGGGTTGTCAGACCTACGCCCGTCCTGTGCACGGGCTCAAGGGAACACGCTGGCGCACACGTGCCAGCCCACCCTCGGGGGTTGAAGGCAGCACTGACTACATGGACAGTTAAGGCTAGCCTGGGGTACACGAGACCCTGTCTCAGAACCACTCAAAGGAAGTTGAGGACTGTGTAGCAGTCCTGAAGCCATGGGTCCGACCTCTAGCAACACTTGAATCCAGGCAGTGGCCACTCAGGCTGGAAGCCGCAGGATCAGGAATTCCTTTTTTATTTTTTTTTGGTCCCGTGTCCGGTGTCGTGTGGACTGAACCCAGGGCCAACCCTTTTTTTGGTTTTTCGAGGCAGGGTTTCTCTGTAGTTTTGGAGCCTGTCCTGAATCGCGATCTGTAGTCCAGGCTGGCCTCGAACTCCCAGAGATCCTCCTGCCTCTGCCTCCCGAGCGCTGGAACTAAGCTGTGCGCCACCACCGCCCAGCAGGATCAGGAATTCTTGGCTACATAGTGAGTTTTGAGACCAGCCTGGGCTACATGAGACCTGTTTCCCCCAAATACACACAGCCCTGTACCCCTACAGATAGGCGATTTCTGGGGCGCGAGGGCTGGTTTCGGGCCCAGGCAGCCGAGGGGTGCAGGCCCCAAGCCCCGGCTCCCGGGGGCTGTTCTTCCCGCTCGCTTACCCGTGGCCTCAGGACACCCTGGGGCGCGGAGAGCTCTCCCTCCCAGAGCGGTGGGCGGGGGCGGCCTGCCCGGGCTGACCAGCCTCCCGCCCGCAGCCCCAGCGGGAAGAAGTTCCGCAGCAAGCCACAGCTGGCGCGCTACCTGGGCGGCTCCATGGACCTCAGCACCTTCGACTTCCGCACGGGGAAGATGCTGATGAACAAGATGAATAAGAGCCGCCAGCGCGTGCGCTACGACTCCTCCAACCAGGTCAAGGTGAGGGCGGTGACGTCAGGGGGCGGGCCCTCGGGTTAGCCACGATCGCCATCGAGTCAGTACCTCGGCTGGCGGGAGCATGGCGCGCATTTGGTTCGGCGGGTGGGAGGTCTGCCGGCCTGATCGCCCGCCCAACACCATTCAGGCTCTGTCCAAACGCCTCCCTGGCCCCTCCAACCCTCCGTGGATCCCGGTCGGAGCGGCCCGCTGCAGAGTCTTCTTCCCCCAGGGCAAGCCTGACCTGAACACGGCGCTGCCCGTGCGGCAGACCGCATCCATCTTCAAGCAGCCGGTGACCAAGATCACCAACCACCCCAGCAACAAGGTCAAGAGCGACCCGCAGAAGGCGGTGGACCAGCCGAGGCAGGTGAGCCCCCGCGCAGTCTCCGGGTGGGCGCCCTGAGGCTTTGTCCTGAAGCTCGTCCTTCGGGGCGCAGGGGGCAGTGCCTTGCCCCAGAGCTCCTCCCAGCTCCCGGGTCTTCGCTCGGAAAGTACTTGCTCTTCCGAAAGAATGCCCCGAGCTTGGGGGCCCGCCCTCAGCCCAACACCGCGGTCTGAGGCGCAGCAAGAAACCTCCGCTTTAAAAAAAAAAAATCAACATAATAAAAGCCAGGGCTCCTTTGTGTTTTTCAGGCCTATTTGTAAACACCCCGTGGCTCCTGGGGGCTGGGATGGATGGACTGGTCACATCCCTCCCACCTCTGCGTCCTGTAACCTTGCCTCTCTCACCCTAAAGCTGTTCTGGGAGAAGAAGCTGAGCGGCCTGAGTGCCTTCGACATCGCTGAGGAGCTGGTCAGAACCATGGACCTGCCCAAGGGCCTGCAGGGTGAGCTGGGGCGGGGGCTGCCCCGGTGTGTGTGAGTGTGTGTGTGTGTGTGTGTGTGTGCGCGCGCGCGCGCGCCTGTGCGGGTTTCTTTGTACGGCTTGCGCACTGGTTCCCGTGGAGGCCGAGGGTGTCAGATAGCCCGCAGCTGGAGTGACAGGCGGTTGGGAGCCCTCTGGTGGGTGCTGGGAAGCATCCCTCGGGACCTCCTGTGGAACCCTGGCAGGCCTGGGCGCACAGATGGCCTGTCCTCTTCTGCCTTTGCCTGGGGTTCCAGCTTGGGCCGCCACGCCAGGCTTTGCTGAGGTCTCTGGACGGACTAGCCTAGGGTGAGGGCATGGCTGCCCAGGTGGCAGCCTGTGCTGGCCGGGCCCTGCCCACACTGTCCTCCCCACAGGGGTGGGCCCAGGCTGCACGGATGAGACGCTGCTGTCGGCCATCGCCAGCGCGCTGCACACCAGCACCCTGCCCATCACGGGCCAGCTCTCGGCAGCCGTGGAAAAGAACCCTGGCGTGTGGCTGAACACCGCGCAGCCCCTGTGCAAAGCCTTCATGGTGACTGACGACGACATCAGGTACCTGGCGCCCCACGCCCACCCGCATCCCCACAGTCAGTCATGGCAGGGATGCGGGGATGCAGGGATGCAGGGCAGGCCGGCAACCACCTGGCTCCTCAGTGTGTTCTGGAATGGCGGGGGTAACGCACACTGTGAGGTTCAGTCGGCTCAGTGACCATGACTTCCACAGGCCTGGGAGAACTGGGGAGCTGAAGAGGCTGGGTGGGGCTGGACCTGAGTGACAGCCCTCAGGAAGGGTCCAGGCCTGGTCGGCAGTGGCTCCTGTGTGGACAGCCCTGAGCGCCCGAGACAAGGCTCCTCAGCGGGAGGCCCTGGAGCCTGAGGGGCTGGCCTGGGTTTCCTGCCTCACACCAGGGTGCCGGGCGGGACAGGGCCAAGAGCAGCACCTGGTGGAACCAGATTCGGGGCCCACCGTGGCCCCAGGGCCCGGGTCTGCTTGCTCTGTGTGGACAAGGCGTGGCCGCTGCTGCCGTCTGTGGTTCCCACCCTCCTGGACCTGAGAAGTTGGAAACGTTAGGACACCAGTGGTCGCCCAAGCTGGTGGGGAGCTGTCGGAGTCCTAGAAGGGATGGGTGTGGCGGACCTGCGGGCCATCACTGGGTTCCTTGAGGCGCTGAGGTGAGGGTGTCCGTCCTCCAGGAAGCAGGAGGAGCTGGTGCAGCAGGTGCGCAAGCGCCTGGAGGAGGCGCTCATGGCCGACATGCTGGCCCACGTGGAGGAGCTGGCCCGGGATGGGGAGGCGCCCCTGGACAAGGCCTGTGCTGAGGACGAGGAGGACGAGGATGAGGAAGACGACGAGCCTGAGCCCGAGCGGGTCTAGCACAGGTGCTGCGGGCCGGTCAGGGTGACGGCGGCCGCTCGCTCGCTCGCCCCCCAGCCAGGCTGCCGACGGCTGCCCTCGCCTCTTCCAGACGGCCTGCCGCGCTGGGTTGCAGACTTCCCTCTGCCTGGCCTGGACCAGGTGGGGGCCAGGCCAGCAGGAGGCGGGCCTCGTGCGGGGAGCCCCCGGTGGGCCTCGGACTCACTTGCCCCTGCGCTTGTGGCAAGGAGCCCCACATTGAAAACTGAAGGTCGGGGCGCAGCTGGGAGGCAGCCTTCACCGCGGTCACCTCCCTGCCTCCTCACCATAAGAAGAAGCCCTGCTCGGCACCAAGGAGCTACAAGCTTTGTTGGGCCGCTGGAGGAAGGTTCTGGAAACACACCTGGCTGTTCCTGACTTTCAGCGTCCCAGGCCAGGATCTGGACTGCTACCAGGGTCTCGGGGTCGCCAGCCCCCCTGAGCTAGGGCCAGCAGCCAGCCAGGAACTTGCTTTCCTTCAATAAACCGATGGTAGGAACTTCTCGGCCTCTGACTTCTCACTCTGGGAGCCACAGCTCTGAGGGTGCCTGGCGAACCCACAGTGCCTGCTGCCCAGCCGTGGGACCCACCTGCTTCTGGGCCGCGGGGAGGCTTGGGGAGGGGTCAGTGGTTCTGCAGAGCCCAGTGAGTGTGCCTGGCCGTCCTCAGTCGCAGCAAGGTCTCCTCCAGGCTGGACAGCACCCAAGGCCGGAGCTGGCAGTCCCTCCAACAGAGATGCCACTCCTCTCTGGGTTCTCTCTAGGGCGACCATAGTGACCTGTGCCACCCCAGAGGACCCAGGGTTTGTAAGGTCCCTCCAGGACAGGGACTGGTGACCCCAGCATCCATGGCAGAATGATAAAGGTTTGGCATGGGAGACGGCCGGCGAGTGAGGCTCCGTCCTGCACAGCACACTAACCTGTGGGTACCGCCACCATCCCCTGGTGTCCCCTCCAAAGGGGACTGCTTCCCGTTCTCTGCCCCTCTACCGTGAGACACTTTTGTTGGTCAGGTCTGCATCCGTCAGAGGGGCCTGGTCCTGCCCTGGAGACTGGTCTCCTGCAGGACTTCCCACACAGCCTGCCCAACATCAGCTCCCCTGTGTCCAGGCTCTAAGTCCCTGGTGGCCTCAGCAGGCCAAGGGCAGTACAGCCTGGTGGGGCGCCCTGCAGTGGGTGCCGGCCCTGGTCCGGGAGGTGGGCGTGGGCCCTCTGTCTGCACCCAAGGGTGCACAGGGCGCCCTACAGTCCTTCCCAGCTCCACAAGCCCTGCATTGTTCGAAAGCCTCCTGCCACCCTTAACATCCCGCCCACAGACCCCAGGTCCCCAGCGTCCCCGTGGCCCTCCCACATGACCACGGGCCCTGCTGTCCTGAGGCCACCACGGACGAGCTCAGCTCCTCCAGGTCATGTTTCTGCCCATGGGCCACCATGAGAAAAGATGGTGGTAACAGATAAAGCTTCCCTGGATGGGGCCATCCACTGCCTGAGTGTTAGCCGGCCACGAGCAGGAAAACAAGGCTCTGACAGGGGCCACAGCCAGGGAGAGGCCCTGGAAAGCTCACAGCGGGGGCTGGGCGGGGTGGCCCACGCCCTTAGTCCCAGCACTAGGGAGGCAGACGGCTGTGAGTTCAAGGCCAGGCTGGTGTACAGAGCCTGTTACAGGACAGCCAGGGCGGCACAGAGAAACTTTCAAAAAAGAAACAAAAAGCTCACAGTGGCGTTGGAAAAGCAGGGGCAGGGAGGAGCCAGAACTGGGGAGGACTCAGACCGGGAGGACCCCGGCTCGGGAGGACTCAGGCTCGGGAGGACCCCAGCTCGGGAGGATCGCCTCTCGTGATGATGGATATTCTGCACCTATGTGAAGGTGACTCGGTACTGGTGCTGGGGGTGGAATCCGAGGCACCGTGCTGGTCAGGGGCTCACCGCTGCCCACCGGCGAGAGGTCCTGGACACTGATTACTGCAGCCATTTATTTTCAAATGAACCGAAGGACTCCAAATTTAGCTTTATTATTAGCGTGTGGAGCCTGACGTGCCAGGAGTCCTCACACGCTCAGAGACGTGTGCGCCAGGGCGTCGTCAACATGGCCACCAGGACACCTTGCCTGCCGGTGTCCTGCAAACTGACTCCGCACACACCTTCAGTCCCGTGGCACTGGGGCGAAGGTCAGAGGACACGGCCCGCCATCGACTGCAAGTTGTCATGCCTGGAAAGCAAGCGCCTTCCCACGCTTTCATCTGCTTCATGTGTGGGTGTTGTGCCTCCCAGTCTGCACACGGAAGCCAGGAGACAGCGTCAGAACCCTGGGACTGGAGTTAAGATGGTTGCGAGCCACCACGTGGGTGCTGGGACTTGAACCTGAGTCTACTAGGAAATCAGCCAGTACTCTAACCACTGAGCCATCGTCCCTCCAGCCCTCATTTTTTCTTTCTTTCTTTTTTTTTTTAAAGACTTATTATGTACACAGTGTTCTGCCTGTATGTATGATTGCAGGTCAGGAGAGGGCGCCAGATCTCATCACAGACGGCTGTGAGCCACCATGTGGGTGCTGGGAATTGAACTCAGGACCTCTGGAAGAGCAGCCAGTGCTCTAACCGCTGAGCCATCTCTTCAGCCCCCCATATTTAGTTCTTAGTTTGGTGATGGGGGATGAACCTAGGGCCAGGTGCATGCTGGGATGTGCTCTACCGCTGAGACACACCACAGCCCTGCGGAAGTGTCCAGGTCATTTTGTGTTATTTTACTTCACGGGTTTGTGTGTTGTTCATGCTTTCTCTGCCGTGTGTGCGTGTGTGCGTGCGTGTGTGCGCGTATGCATGTGTGTGTGTGCGTGAGTGTGCATGTGTATGTGTGCAAGTGTGTATGTGTGTGTGCGCACGTGTACATGTTCACTCGCCAGTGCGCACATGCAGCTGGCTGTCGGGGGAGCGCTCTGGTGTCTCTCCTCGGGTACCTCCCCTCAGATCGCTCTCAGGGTTGGGCCCCACCATACCAGGCTTTGATGGTCCTGACATGGGGAGGTCACCCCCTCAGGTACCTCACCCAGTGCGCGCTGCCGTCACCCCGGGGTCCACACGCTCCTGGCTCCTCTGGACAGGTGCCCCTCCCCCATGTCCCCAGACCCGACTTCCCGCCAGTGCTGGGGTGACAGACGGGCTGGAGCCAGTGCAGCCCATTTATGTGGTGCTGTGACTGGAACCCAGGGCTCCAAGTCCCAGGCAAGAGCAGGGCTGGTGAGCTAAAGCCTTTGTTGGGTTGTGATGTTTGTAGACAGTCTCGCTCTGTAGCCCAGGCTGGCCCGGAACTCACAGAGATCCACCTGCCTCTGCCTCCCGAGGGCTGGGATTAAAGGTGTGCACCACCATGCTCGGTTTACTTTTCAGTTTTTTAACTTAAAAAGTGTATGTGGGGGCTGGAGAGATGGCTCAGGGGTTAAGGGCACTGCCTGCTCTTTCAGAGGACCCAGGTTCAATTCCCAGCACCGACATGGCAGCTCACAACCAATGCATGTAAAATTAAGTTCAATTATTCTTAAAAAAAACAAAAACAAAAACAAAAACAAAAACTGTATGTGGCCGGGCGGTGGTGGCGCACGCCTTTAATCCCAGCACTGGGGAGGCTGAGGCAGGTGGATCTCTGTGAGTTCGAGACCAGCCTGGTCCACAGAGTGAGATCCAGGAGAGGCATCAAAACTACAGAGAAACCCTGCCTCGAAAAACAACAACAAGAAACTGTATGTGAAATGCCTGAGTTTATGTCTCTGCACCACACGCACATAGGAGCCCACAGAGGTCCGATGGGGTCCGGCGAGAGCACTGGATCCCCTGGAAATGGAAGTCAAGTGGTGGTGGGCTGCTCCGTGGGTGCTGGAAACTGAACCCGACTTCTGCGAGAGCAGTCAGCAGTGAGTCACCTCCCATCACCTCCGCAGCTCCTCACGGCCTGGGCTCTGGCTCAGCCGGGGCTCGGCGTTTAGGCTAGGGCTGCTGACCGGACCCTCCGGGGTTCGGGGATTACCCGCACACTGCTGTCATGAGAATCTGGGTCTCCTCAGCCCCCCTTCCCCATCTCCTGGACTGTGGCGTCCCCAGAACAATTATGAATCCTGACTCGTCAGAGGCTCTGCGGCCTCTCCCCTTGTTCCCTGCTTTACCTCTCCCTCCCCAGAACTTTCTTCTGTGCTCACCAGCCCAGCAGCCCCAGATTCAAAGACCTGGGGGGCAGGCAGGGCAGAGGTGACCGTGTGCGTCCCGACAGCCTCTGGCTTTGAGTACCTGCCAAAGCTGCTGGAAGTTTCTGCCCAGTGAAGGGCAAGGCCTGTAGCTGAGCCCAGGGAGGGGCTGGACATCAGGTATTAGGGAAAAATTAGTACTCCCCTCCCCAAAGGCAAGGTTTCCCTGTGCAGCCCTGGCTAATGTGGAACCTGCTCTGTAGACCAGGCTGGCCTTGAACTTACAGATCCGCCTGCCTCTGCCTCCCACATGCCGGGATTAAAGGCGGGCACCACCATGGCCTGGCTTCGACTTCTTAATATTGTTTTTAGATAGGCGGTCACTCAGTCCTGGCTGGCCTGGCACTTGAAGGTGTGAGTGACAAGACCCTGCCACCTCTTGACCTTTTAATTAGTGAGGGTGGCTTCTGGGCAGGGGACCCAACACACCGGAGGAATGAGGACGCGCCTCAGGGTTGCAGACTGTCCGTGTGTCCATGATGATCATAACAGTGACCAAACGCCATGGACGACACACACACACGGAGCAGAGGAGCAGGGGCGGCCTGTGCCCAGAGACCGCACACAACTGGTCGCAGTTCATAGCAGGGACCCAGGTCCACCTTGTTCAGCGGCGCCGGGGACAGGGTGGCCATGGAGGGGGCAGAGCCCGCGGACGGGGCTCTCTTCCTCCAGAGCCCGGGCACCTCGGGGGAGGGTGGGTCCCAATGACTGTGGGCAGTGGCTGGTGGGAAGCTACGCACCCCAAAAGCCCCATCCAGGGGATAATGTCTAGGTTTGGGGGTACACAATCCCCTCCACCTCCATCCCCAAGGGGGACAGGAGGCTGGACTCGGGGAAAGGAACCTCAGCGGCTGCCCAGGCGCCATGCCAAGGGGTATGGGACCAGGGGATTGCGCCAGCAGGATGCCAACATGCAGGTCATCACCAGGGTTCCCCGCTGGGTCATTAGATGCGCTCGGAGTGGAGGCCCTGGCTGAAGGAGGACGGCAGCAGCCAGGGGACGACAGGCACGGGAGGGGGCGCCACCCTGCTACTCGGAGAAAGGTTCCTGCCTGTGGGGGTGAGGAGGGGCCGGGAAGCACTGGTACCCGAAACCAGAGGGTCCCCAGAGGCACAGAGGTACAAGTCCCCGGCTTCTGGAGGCCAGAGACAAGCTGGGGCAAGCCAGGCCCGGCGGGAGGACCGTGGCTGCGCCTGTGGAAGGAGATGGGGTGGGGAACACCCGGTGTCCGCGAGGTGATCCCTGCCAGGGGTCCCCGCGGTCCCCGGGCGCGCGGGGTGGGGGGGTCTCTGCTTTCGGAGGGCGCGGACTGACTTGGGGCGGCGGACGCGGGAGGGGACACCACACTTCTGCATGCAGATGAGAGTCCGTGTCTTAGAGGGGGATGGCGAGGGGAGACAGCGTGACCGCGGGGTGATCCCCGACCGAGGGTCCCCGGGAGCGCACTGGGAGGCCGGGGTGATGGGAAGGGCCTCTGGCGCCCACGCCCACCCCGCTCCCCGCTCCCCCCGGACGCGAAGACCAGACCCGGAGGGGGCCCCGCTCCGGCGACCCACCTGCGGCGCCTCCCG